TTAGCTGAAGAGAGGGAACCTCATCTAAGTAACATTTGCACATGATACAGCAAAAGGAGTTCATTGCAATACTGTCTTTGGATCTTGTTTCAGTACTGGGTGTTTAAAGGACAAATAGCTGCTAGAATTCAGGGGTAAATGAAACTGTTCAGAAAACGTCAGAAGATTAGGATTTTGAACTGATTTGTAACTTCCTATCCAGCCTAGCCACCAATAACTCTTGTGTTCACTGGGACCCAGACCCTCGGCAAGGGGGCCTCCTGGGTGGCATTGTGAATTACAGATTTGTTTATCTACATTTTTCCTATTTATTTAAATGGTCGATCAACTTCCCACAAACTGAGGAATGAATTCCACAAGCCTGTTCTGGAAATGTGGACATGAGACAAAAGCACTTGCTCGTCCTTTAACGGAGTTCACCAGCACACTTGTTAACCAGTCCCGTTTGCTTCCGTCTTTTTTTGTGCGTAATAAAGTCAACTGACCAAGTGACCATGAAGAGGGGCTGTCTGGGGCTCCTGTTTTTTAGCTGCTGTTCCTCTTCAGCTCCGACCATGTTGCTGTGTGATTATCTCAATTGGTTTTAATTGAGGCAGAAACTGAAGCTCTACCAATGAACTGTTTAAAAACAAGACACACTTTTGTATTAAAATTGCTTGCAGTAACAAATGTTTTGTATTTCCTGATTTTCTTTTCAATCCTTACCTTATATATCAATGTTACCTTGGGGTATAATAGTGTTGTAGGTACTTAAATGTACTATTCAGATCAAAATATCTTGATGGATAAATTAGAAAGCTCATTAATAGGGAAATTTTTATTTTATACTTGTTAATTTTATTTAATAAAGCAACAAAATAATCAGGGTATTATCATAAATATGTAGGATATCTTTCCCACTTACATAATTAAACAAATACCAGTATGTAGGAAGACATTAGAAATCACAAAGATCCTGGGGTTTGAGAGAATGGGGCCAGTTTCTGACAGTATGCTGAAATTTCTGGTTAAATGATAGAATTTCAGAGGAAGAAGCAAAATTGGTCATCAAATGGTAGGTTCTTTGTTTTACAGATAGAGAAACTGGGTTGGGTAAATATGAGAAAGGGATTTCCCTGAGTTCACAAAATGAGTCAATGACAAAAGTGGACCTTGATTCCAATCTTTGACTCCCTATTTGGCACTTATATTTCTTTCAGCCTCAGTTTAGCTTTGTAATGGTTAGAACAGCCAAATATTAACAACAGGGAAAAGAATCAAGAACCTGAGAGGTAGAGGGGCTCAGACTCAGGCCACCTGTGCTCTTGATCATTAGGCCACACTCTTAGGATGTAGAAACTTGGTAAGATAGATGCATGTTTGCCAAAGCTGTTTGAGGCTAAATATCCAGATTAAGAGGAATTTGCAACCTAATGGATTCTGAAGGAAGTGCTTACTCTATTCTCCGTGGAATTGGGTAACTTCAAGCTGCCAGAAATTTTGTGTAGTTCCGCCTCTAGGCCGCCTGGCAGCCAAAGCATGCTGGGACCAGTTTGATCTACATCTTATAGAGTCTGGACTGTGGTCATTTGCTTTTTTTTTTTTTTTTTTTTTCCAGTAAGGTTTTCCCTGAGTTTTTGCAGCAAAGCTCAGCTGGTGGTGGCACCCACAGAAAGTATATTTCCATTCAATAAACACTGGGCTGTAAAACCATGTAAGAAATAGAGATGCCAGAAAAAGGGTTAAAATATTATAGTTGTGTAATAGAAATACTACACAAGGAATGCAAATTTGGTATCTGCTGGGTCCTTGAAAGATGCAATAACAATAGCTAATATATATTGACTGTTTACTATTATATAAGCTAGTGATTGTCCTATGAGCACATAGGACTGTGTATACATTCCTATGTGTATGCTGTATATACATTCCCATTTAATACCCGTTACAATCCTATGATCATTAGCCCCCTTTCCTGGATAGAAAACTGAGTCTGAGAGAGGTTAAGTAGCTTGCCCAAGGTCACAGAGTGGCCAGGCAGCTGGGAAAGCCCTGGTTTTGACACCACTTTCTCCAAGAAACTTTCCCCACCTCAGTTCCCTTCCTGTTCTGGGATTCCGCTCACAGCCACCCAACCCCCACTTCCCAGCCCCTCTGCCTCTGCCCTGCCAGACACTTCACCAGCTCCTCCGTGAGAACACACCTTACATTCTGCCTCTGGAAATGACTGTGTTCACCAACTGTCACCCTGTTAGAGTGAGGGGCGCTCAGGGGCAGGGGCCTTGTCCACTTGATCTCTGGCTCAAGGCACAGCACACAGCAGCCCACAGTGGCTCTCGCTGAACCGTGGGCCGAGGCCCCTCGGAGTGGCTAACACCTGCTGTTTAGGTTTATGGCAATGTGAAGCCCATTGTTTAGAGAACACGGCTATTTCCACTCATCCTAAATAGATAGAAATGATTTCTGTTGTAAGAATCAGCCCAGCACTGGGCAGCTTGCAGTCTGCCTGGGAGCCCAGCATTGCACAAAACGCACCCTGAGAATTGCAGGCTAGATCTGAGGCCCCAGATGACATGGTGTGGACTCAAAGGGGAGCACCGAGGGTGCAGAGAGGACAGTGAGGGGATGGGCAGAAGATTCAGAGACCCTGACCAAGCTGACTTGGGGACAACCCCTTGACTCCGCCATCTGCCTCAGTCAAGCCCTGTGGATTCAGCCTCCTAGAGAGTTTCATCCTGTGCCCTTCCACTCCTTCACCATTAGAGGCTCATTGTCATTGTAAACCACCCCCCCAAAGCTGTGCCTGCCACCAGCTGCAGGGCCCGACTCCTGTCTCCTTCCTGCCTATCCATGTTGGCTTCTGCATTAGGGTTCTGCTCTTGCCTTGGGCACTTTCAATGGCTAATCTGCATTCTCCTGAAGATAAAGCTCAGTGTCCTTACCGGGTTTACAAGCAGTGTGAAAATTTACCTGTTGGGTAAGGTACAGACTAGGCATGTGCTTAAGGCACCAGCAAATGATTATTTACCTTAAGAATTTATTTACTTCCATCCGTAAATCTCCAAAAAAAAAAAAAAAAAAAAAAAAAGAATTTATTGATACTGGAAAAATTTTTGGAAGTGATCACTTCAAAATGTAATTTTGTTGGGTATTATACACTTGTCAGAGGTTTAATCTTGAATCCACATGGGGCAGTGGACCCCAACCTTTTTGGCACCAGGGACCAGTTTCATGGAAGAATTTTAACACAGAAGGGGGCGGGGGGGGGATAGCGGGAGGGGGGGTGTCTGCGATGGTTTCAGGATCATTCTATCACATTACATTTATTGTGCAGTCAAACCTCCCTGCTAATGATAATCTGTATTTGCAGCCGCTCCCCAGCACTAGCATCACTGCCTCAGCTCCACGTTAGATAATCAGGCACTAGATTCTCATAAGAAGCGCACAACCTAGATCCCTCCCATGTGCAGTTCACAGTAGGGTTCGCACTCCTGTGAGAATCTAATGCTGCAGATCTGACAGGGGCGGGGCTTATGCAGTGATGGGAGCAATGCGGAACAGCTGCAAATGCAAATGAAGCTTCTTTTGCTTGCCTGCTACTCACCGCCAGCTATGCCGCCTGCCACGGGTACCAGTACTGGTCTGCCACAAGGGGGTTGAGGACTGCAGACATGGGGGACACCATAATCACTCGGTGTTCAGGACCCACATCTAATTCCCTGGAAGGCCCTTTGTGGTCAGCTCCTCTAGACTCAGCCATTTATCCCCTGGGCTCTCCAGCCTCCATGGAACAGCTAACCTACACTTGCCCACCTGCCCCAGCCCAGCTCCACTGCTGTGAGACCTGGGGGAAGACCCTTAATATCTGTGTGCCTCAGTTTCCTCGCCTGTTAAAAAGATAGGGTTCCAATGGTATGTATCCCATGACAATGAGGGAGCATTATAGAAGTAAACACAGGACACACACTCAAAACCTGCCTGGCACTTGGTAAGTGCTAATTGTTACCTGCCATTGTTAGGCTCCCTCAAATCTCAGGGCCTTGACACAAGCTATTCCCTCAGCCTGGAACACTTTCCTCCCACTGACCTTTCCTGTCCTTCCAGACCAATTCCATCCAGCTTTACAAGCTCGGTCGTGGTGCCACTTCCTCCCACACCGTAAATGAATAAATGAGGTGAGAGAGCAGCTAGGGAAGAGCAAGGTGTGCAGAAAGGGCCTGAGTCAATAGAGGCGTTTCCGTGAGGATCCTTCTCTTCCAAGCCTTGCACCGGGGCCGCGGCAATTGCGAAGATGCGCAAAGGCGACTCTCCCGGAGGTCCTTGGCCAGGCTGGAGGCGGATGCGCATCTCCTCCCCGCGGCTGGGTCTGCACCCGGGTCCGCGGGGCGCGCAGCGAGCGCTGCCGGGGCGGCCGCCGGGGGCGCTGCGGGACAGCACGCGGGAGCCGGGCGGGTGGGCGCGCCAGGAGGAGCCCCTGAGCAGGTGTCGGGAAGGAGAACCCGCAGCAGCGCGCGCAAAGGGACCTCGGGGGAGGCGCCAGGAGGCAACCAGGTGCTGCGGTGGCCGGAAACCCGCGCCCGGCTGCTGCTGGCAAAAGAATGTGCCCCACCCTCGGGGCTTGGCTGGCACCCGCCCGGCTCCTCCAGACGGGACTGAGGCCGTGTGTCTGGCCGGGTGGCAACACCCCGCGCACCAAGGCGGGGCGGCTGCACGGGGACTGGGGATCCCCGCCAGGGCCAGAGCATCAAGGACACGCCCCGCGGGAGCGCGGGTTCCAGCTATCCCCGGACGGCGCCGCCACCCTGGGGTCCCAGAGCGGAGGCTAGAGGCTGGGTGGGAGCCAGGACGACCCTGACGGTGCTGGCGCCGGGGCTGCGGACCCCTTGCCCGCCAGGGCGTGGGTTCCCGGCCTTGGCCCCGCCCTCGCGCCCCCGTTGGTCGCGCCCGGGCGGGGCGGGGCGAAGGGCGCGGGCGGCGCGGCCGGCAGCACAGACGGCGGGCCCGGCCGAGGGACTCGCGGGTTCGCGCCGCCGGGATCGCCGCCGGAGCTCGCCCGTCGCCCCTGCCGTTGCGCGGACCTCGGCCTCAGCGGGCCCGGCGGCGCGGCGGTGACAGACGGATTAGCCGACGGTCCCCAGTCCGGGAGTAGCCCGCCCACAGGCTGTGGCGTGCGCGTCCGCACGGCCCGGGGCCGGGACAGGTGCCGCGCGGCACCGCTCGGGCATCGCCTTGAGGTCGCGGGCGACGCCCGCCCGTCCCGCCGGCCGCCCAGCCCAGCCCGCCGCCCACCGTCGGGGCGTCCCGGGAGCCGATGCGCGCCCGCTGAGCCCGGCCGGCCGCCATGGCCGCGCGCCCCGGCCCGCTCTGGCTCCTGGGCCTGGCGCTGTGCGCGCTGGGCGGCTGTGGCCCCGGCCCGCGCCCCCCGCCCGGCTGTCCCCAGCGTCGTCTGGGCGCGCGCGAGCGCCGCGACATGCAGCGCGAGATCCTGGCGGTGTTCGGGCTGTCCGGGCGGCCCCGGCCCCGCGCGCCGCCCGCCGCCGCACGCCTGCCCGCGTCCGCGCCGCTCTTCATGCTGGACCTCTACCACGCCATGGCCGGCGACGACGACGAGGACGGCGGGCCCCCGGAGGGGCGCCTGAGCCGCGCAGACCTGGTCATGAGCTTCGTCAACATGGGTAAGTGCGGGCCGCCGCGGATGGCGTCGGGGACCCGCGGTGACCGTGTGCACGGCGGGCTGAGTGTCAGGGCCCCGGCGTCCCCACGGTGGCCCCTGGGGAGTGAACACCAGCTGCATCCTTAGGCAGTGCCAGACCTTGGCCGGGAACGGGGAGTCTCGAGGGATGGACGCAGCCCACAGCGGAGCGGGGACCGCCAGGGTCAGGGAAGGTCTCGGGCGCGTGGGGCTCCCGGGCTGCAGAGTGGGCAGGAGCGGCGGGGCGTGCGGACGCCCAGGGGCTGCATCCGCCCCTCCCAGCGCGCCCAGGGGTAAGAATCTGCCATGTCGCGCCCACCTGGGCTGCACCAGGAAGACGGCCTGGTCCTGGGAGACAGATGAGTAAACAGAGGCTGGGATGCTGTCACTGTGATAAGGGCAGTGCTGAGGAGAGGGACAAAGTTCAGTGTGGAAACCCGTGCTCACACCATCAGAGTGACCAGAGCTGACCCACCTGCCCTGAGTCCACAGCAGGCTCTTCCCCGCGGAGCCTCGCGGCCTGGGCGGGGCGGCTGTCAGGGGAGCCTCTGGGGGAGGGGCAGGCTCTCAGCTTGGTGGGGCAGGGACTGTGTCTTGTCACCTGGGGCCCCAGCGGCTGGGATGTGGCCTGGCATGGAGTGCGTGTCCAGGCCTGTGGAAGGGCCCAGTGGGCAGCCTGGACCCTCTTTGTTCCCCGGGCAAAGCCTGCTTTTCCTCTCTGCACACAGTTTTCTCTCAACCATGGAGCCATTTACTCTTGAAGGTCTCAAAGTTATTTTTTCCCACTAGAAAACTCTCCGTAGTCTATGGTCCTGAGTACTTCCTGTCGGCCAGACCCCTGTCTGCTTTGCCTCCTGTCCACGGCTAGTGACAGGCAGAGGTCTGGGCTGGGCAGACAGCAGGCTGGGCCTGGGGACCCAGGGACCACAGCTCAGCCTGAGGGTCAGGGGAGCCATGGGCTGAGAGCAGGGAGAGGACCCTGGCCACGGCCACCGGCCTCCTGTCACCTACAACATCGCTCTCGACCCTCCAGCACCCCTGTTCACAGCCGTGGTCCTCATCCCATCTCCCAGATGAGGACAGGGAGGCTCGGAGAGGCAATGTCACACCTAGGATGGCACAACCTCTACCTGCTGAGCCAGGACAGGCCTGGGTCTTCTGACTGTACACCCAGTGCTCAAGGAGGTGACATTTCTGTTGTCACGTTTGGCTCGGAGGGTAGAGAGAGCTTTCTGAGGGATTTGGACTGAAGAACACGGGGGACCGAGCAGCTGCAGGTTTTGTGGGGTCCTCAGCCACTTGCTTCCTACGCTAGGGCAGGGAGAGGGGACAGCCAAGCCTCTGCTCCCGCTACCCCAGAGCTGGTGGTGGGCCAAGGTGGGGACCGAGCGGCGGGAGGCAGCCGGTAACCAGTGCTGAGAGCCCAGCGCCAGGCACAGGGCTCCGGCGAGTGGGATCTGGATGCCACCGTCCTGGTTAGAGGGCAGGGTGGGGACTTGGGACAGAGGAGACCATATGTGGGGCTGGTACCAGGGCTCCATCCTCAGAAGAGGCTGACCAGGGGCTCAGGACCGAGAAGAGTTGAGGATGGCGTCCCCCAAGAATATGTCCAGCGGAGGCACCCATCAGAATGAATCACACTCGCCCACGTCCTGTTCCCCCCGGCATGCCCGGGGGGTAGGGGATCAAGGCATGCATAGCCTGGAGCAAGCTGTTGCGGAGTCCAGCAAGGCCTACTCCTGCTGTGTGACTTTAGAGCAATCACTTGCCCCCTCTGAGCCTGGACCCCTCCTTGTAAAGTGGGGCTCCTAGTGATCTGTCCTCAGGGTGGTTGTGTGATTGGTTGATAGAGGGGGAGGAGCAGAAATTCAGCCCCACTCCCCTCAGAATGTGCACCTGTGCCTGGCCACTGGAGGCCCCAGTCCCTCCCAGCTAGCCCAGCCTTGGCATGGAAGTGACAGGAACGTCCCCACATGTCTTGTACACATGTGAAACCCAGAAATGGCCAACCAAAGAGTGTCTGTAGCTGTTCTTAGGGTAGAAATTAGCGTGTGAACTTTCACAGCCTTACAACTGGTCATGCAATTCATGTGAAACTGTTTTGCCAGCCCCACTTCATGGGCTCAGAGAGGTTAAGTGGCCACCCCAGGGCCACACAGCATGTCCAGGGCAACATCCACAGCTGTGGATTCCAAATCCCAGCTTCTTCCCACGCCAGCTCTGCGTGTTTCATTAAGACCCGGGGCCTCGGACGGACGCTGCGGGTTAACAAGCAGATCTTTGTTCCGGGGAGGGCGGGCGCGGCTGTCAGAGGGCCTTCTTTATCCTCTGCGCTAATGGCGCTGGGGGAACTCTCTGCGTTAGAGTGGTGTTGACTGGCAATCACGGAGGCTGTCTGGGGCACTGGACCCTTACCAGGATCCTCTCTGTGTTTGGAGCCCCGGGCCCCAGGCCCCGAAGCACCAGGAGTGGCATCGCAGGGCCCTGTGGCGTCACACCCACGCCCGGCTCCCACGCCTGCTGCCTCAGCCCCACCTCTCCCGCCGGCCTCACCTGGCTCCTGAGAAGCCAGGCCTGGTGCCCCCAGGCCCCTGCCCGTCGCTGGCAGCCGTGGGACCCAGAGCCCAGGGCGTGTCCAGGCTTCCCACCCACGGCTCAGGCGTGGTGAGCAGTGGGCGCTCCAGGACGCTCGTCGTGATTCACGAGCCTGCGCTGGGGCCAGGGCCGCGGGCATCGGTGCCCGCCTGGCCTGCGTGTCCACAGCAGCCCGGAGACCCGCAGCTCCTCTTCGTCCCAGCAGTCACGGGGCTGTTACCGCGTGGAGTAGATGGATCCCGTCCCTGGTCCCCTGAGCCTGGGCTGCTCCTGGTAAAGTGGGGCTCCTAGCGATCTGTCACCCAGGTTCTTGTACCGCCTGGGCCCGCCACTAATTCCTGCGTGTCCCCAGCCGTGTCCCTTCCCTTCTCTGGGCCTCTGCTCCCTCGTCCAGTCTGCAGTGGTGGTGTCAGAACGAGGGGCTCCCGCCCTGGCCTGTGGCTGTGTCAGAGGCGTCTTCTCACAGCATCCCGTCCCCTGCCCCAGTGCCGCTCCCAGCCTGGCCCCTCCTGAGGGAGGAAGGGCGGCAGGAAGGACCACTCTGCTCCTTCTCCCGAACCCTCTCCACCAGGGATCCACGGAGAGGCAGATGCCCCTGTTCCAGATGGAGAAACCGAGGCACAAACAGCACTGGCAGGCGGAAGTCTAGCCAGGGTCCCTCTGCCCTGACCCTTTCCTGCACCAGACTAGTTTATCCCCGTGGTGTCTGGCGGCTGCGGACAGGGGTGTGGAACTGCTGGTTTGGGAGAATTGGGACTGCCTGGGGGTCAGGAACCTGCCGGGCCCTGCTCTGCCCTTGCCAGCCCTGTGGCCTTGAAGGGCGACGCTCTAGCTCCATGGGCCCCAGGGTCGCAGCCTTCGCTTGTTTACTAGGGAACTCTTTCACTCTCCCACTTGTTCGTTCATTCATTCAACAAATGGTTGTCAGGCACAGTTCTAGCTGCTGGGACACAGCAGTGAACAAAACCAAGGCCTTGCCGCCGTGGAGCTGACCTTCCAGCGGGAGAGACAAATAGTAAATACATGAGCCATGAAGGTGATTGTCAGGGGCGCTGGACAGGGACCCCCTCTGGAAACAGGAAGGGCCGAACACGGCAGGGCAGACAGGACTGGGGTGAGGGTGTCTGACCTGGGACTCGCACACACAGAATTGGCATCCTGACTCCCACACCTGCTCTCAGTGTGATCTGGGCTTTCCAGCCCACCTCTCCCAGCCTCAGTTTCCTCCTCTGGAACATGGACATACTGCGCTTATGGGGCTGTTTTGGGCTTGTGTGAGATGCTACCCAGTGGTGATCACATGCCCAGAACCTCCACGTCTATTCTTTCATTTCCATCTCACAATGACTGTCACATCTTTGTTTTAAAAGGAGGAGCGTGAGTGAGGCTCAGAGAGGTTAGGTGATTTTCCCAGGACACACAGCAATTTGTCTCTCTGCCTCCACAGCCTCCACTGCATCTGCCACTCTCCCCAGGATGCGGCCTGGCCCTTCACAGGGTACAGTGAGTGCTCCATGTGAATGTGTGTTGTAAACGGAGAATCCTGCTTTTAAAGTATCTTCATTGTTTTGGGATTTATGGAAATAATGCATGTTCATTATACAAAATCCAAATTATACAGAAACATAGCATGGATGCCCCTGGGAATCTCATTCCTACTAGACAGTCCCTCCAGCAACCACTTTCTGATTTCAATCACTGTAGATTCATTCGAGCTCCTCTTTGAACTTCATATAAATGGAATCATATAGTGTATGATCTTGTGCCTAGTCCTTCAATATAATTCAGTATAATTTGAGATTCATGCATGTTATTGTAACATCTGTAGTTCTTTGTTTAGAGACAGGCTCTCGCTCTGTTGCCCGGCTGGAGTGCAGTGGTATGATTATAGCTCACTGTGACCTTGAGCTCCTAGGCTCCAGCGATCCTCCTGCCTCAGCCTCTCAAGTCGCAGAGGCTACAGGTAGACCATGATGCCCAGCTCATTTTTTCCCCCTATGTTTTTTACAGACAGGGTCTCACTATGTTACCCGGGCTGGTCTCGAACTCTTGGCCTCAGGCAATTCTCCCCACCTCAGCCTCCCAAATTGCTGGGATTACGGGCATGATCCCCTGCACCCAGCCCATAGTTATTTTTAAAATAATTTGTATTCCATTGCGTGAATATACCACAATCCATCCATTATTATTAATAGACATTTGGGCTGTTTCTAGTTTTGGGTAATTATGAATAAAGCTGTTCTAAATGTTCTTATACACACCCTTCTGTGGATATATTAAAGCTGAATTTTAATCCTGGGTGTGCCTCTTGGGAACTCTGAGACACTGGAAGCTTGCTGAAAGCCTCTGAACCTCAGTTTGCACACCTTTGCGACAAGGTAGGGAGGG